GAGGTGCGAACGAATCATGAACAAAGAGGTGCAGACTTATTATCACTAAAGGATAAAAATTAATCTTTATCAAAAGGGTGAAAACTGTTGTCAATTAAGTTGTGATAATGTATCATCACCAAAAGGGTACAAATTGTTCTCACTGAAGGTGTGAGAATCTATCATCACCGAAGAGGTGCTAACATAATATCACTGAAAGGATGCAGATATAACATTACCGAAATTGTATATATGTAAAGTTATCAAAAAGGGTGCTGATGTAAAGTAACAGAAATGGTGCAAGCGTAATGTCACTAAAAGGGTATATGTTTGATAAAATTATTATATTGGCTAAAATAAGCACCTAAGCAGTGGTATAAAAACTCTGATGAAGTTATTTTATCAAGTGGTTTCAAGTTAAACCAATGATATGTGTTTATATATAAAATTGTCAAGTCAAGTAAAGGAATATCATTTGCTTGTATGTTGAAGACATGATGAATTTTGGCAGTTGCCTTAGACAAGTAAAGCTTACAAAAGCATATTATTGTCATCAAGGTTTGCAACAAAAGACATGAGGGAAGTGAATGTGATTCCTGAAATTTAGATCACAAATGCAAGTAAAAGCTAAGTCGCGACACTTGGTGTTAAATATAGCGCAATATGTGAGCTGGTCACTCACGGGATCATTACAATAACACTTGTTTGGTCTGAATGAAGTGTAGTAGATCATTTGATGAAATGATTAGCTTGAGACTTGGTAACGAAGTCTGTTAAAAGGATGAGTTTAAAGTTACAATTAAAATGTAATTGTGGGATACCCAATTTCCTTCTAATAAAGCGTTAGATACTGAATTCAATGTGAAAACTTTATACGTAAAGATTGAAGCACATGTTTATATCATTCCGAGATATGTGCTTGGGCATGCAGGAAACATATATGTTAAAATGTTAATCTTAAAAAATACTGTGAAAAGTGAATTTACAGGTACATAACTGGAAGTAATTACCTATATGAGTGTGGAGTGATGACACTACAAAAAGATGAGACTTGGCGTTGTATATATTCATGAATGGATAACACACATGGCTTATAATAGTGTCAAGTAAACAATTAGAGTAGTGTGAAAACACATGTGTGTATTATCTTCATGTGCCCAAAATGGGTCGAGGGATTCAATATTTAGGACATTCTGATTCTCGAGCATTTGAAATGCGTAATATATTAAAATGAAAATTAAATTCTTAAAACAATTTCATTTATATGAGTTTGATATATGTGTTAATTATTTATTGAATATGCAATCACATTTAAATGGGAAATGATTGCTAGAAATTTGAGTAAATCTTTGAAACCATTTAAGTTGAGAATTGTAAATTTTTAGATGAAAAATTGTTACTGTTTGTAATTGTAACTATTAGTGATAAATTATTGTAATTTTTGGTGATAACCATTGCAACCATTCATGATTAAAACCATTGGTGGTTAATCCTTATAACTTTTTGTTAATCATTGCAGCTATTGATATTAACAATTGTAACTCTTGGTGTTAATACTTGTAACTCTTGGTTAACCATTGTACTTATTGATACTAATCATTGAAACTCTTTGTACTTTATATAAAGAGTTGTGGGCCTAGAAAATCATAAATTGAATAACAACAAGTAATCAAAAGTAATTGTTAGAAAAAGAGAGTGATTCATTGTTCAAGATCATAAAATACCTTTGAAGAAATACATGTAAATATTAAAACTCTATTTTTTTCTAGTATCTTAGCTTAAAACAAGAATGATACGTTGTTTGTATTATCATACAAAGGAATGCGTGTAACCTAATGCTTAGAATATAGTTGAAGTACTTTTTAAAGAAAGTAAATGCAATGCGATTAAAATAATTAGCCAAGTTTATAATTCACACTCATTCGAATTATCAATCCACACACACACATATATATATATATATATATATAGTATTTTAAATCACATTTAAAATTAATATTGTTTCCCCGTGAACCGTATGGATCGAAATCCTAGTTTTGATGAGCCATTTTGTTCAGCGCAGCGAGTGTGTCATTTTACGGTTCCATCGTGATTTAATTCACTCGAGAATCAACAAACTCCATTTAAACAAAAAATCTCCAAAAAAATATTGATCTCATCTATCTTCCAAAGGCAACGTCCTTACTTATATCATCGCTCAACATGAAGAAATTTAGTGCTTTAATTTTTCCATTGTAATAGATTTTTTCAACTTGTTAGCTGCATTTATAACATATGCACATTTTCGAATAAAACTTATCTAGAAGATGGTAATTTTCTTATCTTGTGAAACTGGTGTAGCAATACCTACATATAGTGCAAGTAACCTACTGATTCCAAGAATAGATAGGAGACGTGTCTTCTTAAGATCGGAGAGCGAAATCCATATTGATGTTTGACCATTGTTGAGTTGGAATCGGTTGTATAAACAACATTTGATGCATGTCCATTTGACGTTTGACAAACCACACAATGCTCAAAAAAGCGAGCCACGACTTGTCGAAGTGATGGCCAATAATAGGAGACGAGAACGAGTTTAAGAGTACAATCGCAGTCAATATGACCTTCATTATGTATCTCATGTATGATACGAAAACGTTAACTCCCATCCGGTATACATAACTTGTATCCACAAAACAGAAATCCTTTGTGAATAAGAAAATATGTGCGCACATGTGACTGAACCACAAACCAAATCCAACCAAAAAGTTACATCAGTATCGTAAAGATATGCTATAGAAGTAAGACCAGGAATCGAAGTGTGAAATTGTTCAAGGATAGTGTAACATATGCTCAACGCATCTGGCACCTTTTTTTTTTGCTTGACTGATGACGAATAACAAAAGAGAACTATTGTAGGTAAGCGATCCACGAGGCATGATGAGATGATATTTTGGAGAAACAAAATAAAGATTACACGGTTCTTGAGGATTGTCGTTGGCGAATAAATTCCCGGAAAATCATTATTCAAATTGTTGGAATGATGATGAAGATGAGCTGCATTAACCTACAAATTTTGTTGACGGTGAAGCACCGTTTTTTTTTGGCTGTTTCAACTGCATGTATGAGAATATCATAAAGCGTGGCCGTGAAGGTGTCAAGAGTAATGCGGAGCTCTTCGTTTTGTTCTTCAGGCGTTTGTTTGCATGGAGTCATGATGATGGTGTGATGTAGAGTAATCGAAGATTGTGCAGAAGTAGAAAAGATCGATAGTCTTAATTAAAGAACCAAAACAAGAAGTACCTAATACCAAATATTGTAGCAATAACTATGTATATCACAAGTAACCCACTGATTCCAAGAATACCCAGGTGACATGCATTCTTGAGATCGTTAAGAGTCACAGCTCTATCCAAGAGCAAGGTTTAGAATTTATAAAAGCTCCTAATATAAATCAAAATAAACCGTATCTTCACAAACCCAAGATATCAATGTTTATATAATAGATAAAACACCAAAGCCTTCACTAACAAGGAATGATATTCATCCTTATCATTATGTAAAAAGGAAATAAAAACATTAGTATTATTGACTAAAAGGAAAAGAACTAAAAGAAAAGCAAAGCCAATATGAAAAAAGGATGTGTGCTGCATCAGAAATTGTATAGCTCAATCCCAAGCATGATATATTTTATTTTTTTGCCTGACACAACTAACTTTGACTATCACAATGTAACTAAATACCTAATTGCCAAACTCTCAGTTTCACTATAAGTTTGTGCATCCAAACAGTTTCCTTAGTTGTTTCTCCAAGTATCATATATTTAGTTCCCATGTCGTTATTGCAATAACATATTCTTGTATCGATCTGACATAGTGTAACGCCCGACCGCCCACACCTAATGCGCCACCCACGCCCATTTTTTGGTCTATGGGCTTAATTCCGTGCGATTGGTGGTGCATTAATTTTTAAAGGCTCATTTGTGTTGTTTACTGATCCTTCAATCACCACATGAAATTTCTCCTTGCTTTATCTTCACTTGTACGATATCGTGAATTATTTCTCGATAGGTCACCCATCCAATTAGGATGTACAATTCACCCCCACACACAGAGTGCAACACCCCCGTTGTGCACACCTGCTGATCTCAAGACGACGCTTGGGTCAGAATCGAGATGGTTAACTAGCTCTAGTACCACTTGTAACTACTCGAACGACCACAGTTAGTGGGTCTCCCACACCCACTCTCTAGGCCTGTGGGGCCTATTACGTGCAACTGACGGTGCGTTAATTTTTGATGGCTCCTTAGTCTTGTTTACTGACCATGTAATCATCACATGACATTTCACGTGCTTTGGACTAATGCGAATCATCATTTCACATGCTTTGGACTAATGCAAATCATGTCCCGATAGATTATCCATCTTTCTATTACTCTAGCTTAAGCATGCTTAATTCTAACCTTTTTCACATATATTAGAAATCGGGATGTTACATATAGATTCATCTGCAAGGGTAAAAACTTACCATATAGTTAACCTCTTCAACTGTATAGATCTCCTCCACATGAGTCCATAAACCCAACAATTGAACTACACTCCTGACTCTCAAACATAAGCTCATGTATAGTCACTTGTTCTTTTTAATTATCAAGTTATAACTATTTTAAAAACATGGGAGAGAGAGAGGGTTTAGAAACTCTCTCTAGTATCTCCTTTCCTCATCTTCAAACCCTAGTAGCCGCCGTCATCAACTCTGCCTGGGAGGAGGTGCGCTTCGGCATCTTTTCCGTATGCTCTTCTCTTCCCCTCTTCTCTGTTTTTCCTTTCTATCTAGTGTTGTTATGTCGACTGTGTTCTTGGCTCTGACTTACGGTGGTGCTGTCTTCTCCGGTAGATCTTGAGATATGCGTTGGGTGTTAGATCTGGTTATTAGTGGGTCAGATCTGCTCAAATTTAGCTGGATTGGGGGACTTATCGGCGATGATTCTTTTGTAGATTGAGTTTGGTGTGTTTGGTTAAAGTCACCATCTCTGACTATCAATGTCTCCAGCCAGCGTTCGAGCTCTCCCTTGCGGTTCAGGCGTAAGAGTTTTCTCCATTTCCAAGTTTCTACATGTTGGTGGAGCTTCTCTCCTATTTCAGCGGTATTGCTTACCCCTTCTCCTTAGTTTGGTTCCTCTTGCGCAAGTCTCTGTCTTCTCATGTGCCTTCGTTTATTTCTATATTCCCCCTCTGTTGTTGGTTTGTTCGTGTTCTCTGAGTTGATTCTGGTTCTGAAAGTTTGGTTGAGATGAATGTCTCTGTAGTTAGTCTCTCCACAAAGCAAGCTTGATCTGTGCTCTTCCCTTGCCGTCGGGATGGTCTGTGCCTCTTTCCTTGCCGCCTTATCCTTGTCGATGTGTTCTGTTTTTGTCAAAGGCTTCCTTTGTCTCTCTCCGGCTTATCTTGTCTCTCTCTGGCTTATCTGACATCGTTGCTCCTCGATTCTTGCTTTGGATGATTTTCAGTGTGCTTACCTTGAGTCCTACTTAGTGACCTTGTCAGTGTCTGTGCATCTTTCTCTTGCCGCTCTGATAGGTTCAGATTAGTGATTGCGGCCTGAGCTTCTTCTCTCGCCACCAACATCTTGATCCTCCTCAGGTTTTCACTTCTGTTACATCACTCTACCCATGTGCATTCTCCCGAGAAGTTATGTTGACTGTCCAGGTACTCTCCTCAAGAAAACTTTGTTGCATAATGTGGGTTTCCTACTCTTATTTAAATCAAAGGGGTTTGATAGAGGTTGATTGGGTCTTTGGTCTTCGGTTGCTTGGTCTCTGTGCGTTGGTAGCTTCTTATGTCCTCTCAAGGATTGGTTTAGTACAAGTGGTATGCACGGTACCTTCAGCCACTCTCTTGTCTCAGTTCATGTGCGCACCTTGAGGTGGTTGGGTTTTGCTCATTCTAAACGGTTTTTGGACTTCTTTCGCCTTTGTGCTTATCTCCTCTGTTTGGGTTATTACCCTAGAAGCTAAGAATAAGCTTGCAAACTGTTGTATGTTCTGTAAACTTTTGTATTTAATAGAAAAAATTTTGCAAAAGAAAAAAATTATAACTATTTACTACAATATTTATATACTATATAGGATGCTTCATTGGCAAGATCTACGTACCTGTATTAATATTTAATTATTTTCTCAAAATCGAGAGAGTATATGATATAATATTCCGCGTGTCCCATGCGCAACGTATTTTAAGTGGTGAGTTTTTTGATAAATCCTATGGTTGCCAAAAAAAGAAGAGTTTATAAATCCTACTGTAAGTCCAAAAGACGAAGCATCCAGGAAGACCAATTAAGTGGTGACTTTTGACAAATCCTACTATTGCAGTACAAATTTTCTAATAAATAAGAATAACTGGGAAGTTCAATTAAGGTTTAGCTCACATGGATTATGGTTGCATCTCCTTCTATGAAGGCCGATTTTTTTTTAATAGGAAAATATAGTCATATTACAAATAATACTTCTTAAAAGAGGAGATTGACAAAGTGACTTGTTGTTTAGAGAATCATTTACGTTTAGCCCTTTGATTAATATATAAGATCTTATATAATTAAGAAATATTTGTGCCAGAAAAAAATACTTAAGAAATATATATATTCTGGTAATTAATTACATGTTATTAACAAATATTTTATCAAATACACACACACACACACACACACACACACACACACACACACACACACACATATATATATATATATCAAAAATTATAGTTTATGTAGAATATGACATGCTAGATTACCATGTTTAGCTCACGATGCAAATTAAGATGATATATTGGCTTATGTAATACACCAATGAAAACATAACCATATGCTGCAATCCTTGGAAACAATTTTTGTTTTGAATAAAATTAACAGTAAATTCAATAAAAGGCATGATAGATTAATAAAATGATGGGTATATATACCAAGTAAAAATACTTAAAATAAAAATCTAATCACCAAACAAAAGGAGAGAGAGAGGGATTCAAACTCTTCATAGTTATTATCATCAACTAAGCCCGTTTTTAAGATCAGAGACATCAACCACTTAGTCATCTCTCTGAAAGATAGTTCATGTTGTACCTTTTTGCGATTAGAACAGAGCTCAATGAGTTAATATGATCACTATGTAGAAAATGATATAGAATGTAACTTTCTTTCTAAGTCTATCAATCTATTTATATAAATAAATCAGATACATAATAAAAACTATAATTTAGTGACATGAAATATGGATATATAAAAGAATTTTATCTTCAATATGTTGATCCAAAAATACTTTTCCAACTTTTTACCAATTTTATTCTATTTGGACATGAAATTAATGGTATTGTTTACTCCACAAATGGGTATCTGATTTGTTTTACCAATTTTATTCTATTTAGACATGAAATTAAAGGTTTTCGTTTTTCTCTTATTTTGCTACATAAAACTATTCTTCTTTCTTCGTAATATTTTTCTTTTCTTCTTAATACTAAATTATCCATAATAAAAACTATAATTTTTCTAGTTTCATTCTTACAACTATTATATTATTTTAATTTTTCTATACTTAGATCAACAAAACTAAAAGTAATAAAGGTATTAACTATTATATGCAGTATATAATTTATAACATTACTTAAAATGAAGATTTAGAATTATGAAAATTAATTTTATAAAAATAAGATGTAAAATTTTAGTGATTGATATAATATTTTTAATTTTTTTTAACAAAGTTCAATTCACTAAATGATTTAAACTTTAATATATTTATTTATTTATAGTGTCACACGTTAAATAATTTCCTAAGTCCGCCCCTGGTTGTAATGAGCCAAGTGAAAGATAGCATCGCTTTTCTCGTCAACATTGAAAACGTTACAAAGGAAATCGGGTTATGGGCAATATTTACGGTAATGTATTTTAAAAACTTAAGGGTTAACTATATAAAACATAACGTAAAAGGAAATTTTTGGAAACTTTTGCATATTTGGAAAATATAGACAACAATAACTACTAATCATTCAAGTTCCCCTTGTAAGTTCTTTTTGTTTGAATCGTGGGTTTCATAATTTTAAAAGGTTTCCCAATAATTGATGTCAAAAAAAAGAGTTTCCCAAAAATTACCAATTTCGCATTCCATAACAATAACTAATAAACAGTCAAGTATCTATTACTATAAAAAAAGACTTTTCTATCATCCTACACTGCCATGTCACTAATCGGAGTAATGTGGTTTTGACATGTGGAAGTTGTCAAAACGTAGCCATTTGTTTTCATCCGTTTGTTTTGGGCTCTAAATTTTTCGTGGCCCTTTACAAGAATCCGATCCATTATCTTTAATTATCAACTCACACCACATGATTAGGTTTACCTTCCCTGTCTCTGTCGCAGTCGAGATGGGAGTTCTGCAGCTTCCATGGCGTCGTTTGGTTTTTTAACGTTGGGAGTATTGATCTGTCATTAATTCTTCTCCCACAAATTTCCTCTACGGATTCTCCATTGCTTCTCATAATGGGCGAGTTATTCTGTACAAATAGGTATGCTATGTTTTGTAAAAAAATCATTCTCAATCCTCTCATCTCATAGTATCCTCTGAAATGGCTAATCCTAAAGTTTTTTTTTCTTCGATTTGAAGTCCGGTCTACCACTGTAGAGGCCGCCTTCTCCGTTTCTGAGTTATACTGAGTTTCATTTATTCCAAGCGTGATGGGCTTTTGAATCGTGTTTGGGCTCAAGAGTTTATTGCAGATGGAGTAGATGGAGTCGTCTCTAACCCTACTTAATGACTACGCGAAGAAACGGCGATGGAATTCGTCGGATGTCCAAGTTTGTCTTCCCTCTTCCTTCTTCAATATCAAAACTCAAATCTGTTTCTCCGACATGTCATCTTCATTAATGAGTTTCTCCGTTGAAGTCTCATGGGCTCCTCGATCTCGAGTGCTGCTTCTCACGCCATCTAAGAGCTGTCTTGATGCACCTGAATACTCCGCCTGTGTCTCCTCCTTTGTGAGCGGCTCCATATCTCCTCCTCTCCCTAATTATACTGATTATAGATTTTTTGGGAAGCCCGTAATGCGAGAAAGGCGGTGATATCATGGGCGTCGACATGCTCCTCCTCGACCAGAAGGTATTTCCGGCGACCAATAGCCCCTTCTGAGTACTTTATATGGTTGATTACATATTACGGCATCCCAGCTGCTTTTTGTCTGAATTGAAACAGAAGACCGATAAGATTTTATTAGATCTCCCCCGTTGACGGTAGATGAAATCAATCCAGACTCTGTCTTGATCCTTTAAGCTCAAAAAGGTCTCCTTGATTCAGCCAGCCATTAACCCATATTATCTAAGAGAGAGAAACGGAGAAAGTTATATACTTTCACAAGAGAAGACGGACCTAATAAAGTGGAAGGTGACATTTAGTAAGAAGAGGAAGAGATACGAAACTGTTGAATGCAAAGTAGTTGAATAAGGCACTAAGGCTAATGAGTACAATGAGAAGACAATGTTAAAGCATAAGATGTTCAAGCTGATACATACATGTAAGTGCCTCTAAGCTCTAATATTGTGTGTTTATGTTTCAATCATGTAAATTGATTATGTCCTTCAAAATGTTTGGTTTCAGTAACATAATAGATGGGATTGTTCCTATGAAGTTATATTATTCCTTATCAGAGCACAAAAGATGAAATTCATAACTACTTCAGAAGCCCAGGGTCATTACAAAAGTTGATTATAAAATGCGTAAGATGGGTCATTGAGTGGAATTGCTTTATATATCACTATCTAAGTGAGTTTATCCTGGAACATTATTGTTTCTTTTGTGTTATGTTTATTTGGAAAGTCATGTTGAGATGTGCAGAACATTGAAATGTTGCAGTATTGTATTCAAGAACACCCGTCTCTTTGTTTGAGGTGTAGGATAATTTCAGTTTCATAGAAATCATCATGAAATTGGTTAAGTTTATGTATGATTCTAGTTACAAATCGTGTTTATACATACTACATGTTAGACAATAATGTTTTGAAATATTTCCCTTCTCTTTTATATACTAAAGGTGGAGCTTAATAGTGTTTTACATTTTGATAAAGCTTATATGTAAGTAATAAATAGTCGTAACTAAAATATATAGAACTTTTAGTTCACAAGTGATATTGTATTAATCGTTCTGATTCTGAAACCAAAATAATATAAGATTGATTTCAGGATTCTAAAAAAGCAGGAGTGACACAAGTGAGGAATAATTAACTACATTCTTATAATCCCATGACAATCTTTTGAAAATCAATAGACACAATGAATTGGTTACATACAGTGTATATAATTTTACGCCTAAGATTGGGTAAAAGAAATTAAAAATAGATACCTTCCAATTTTTATTTCATGATACATAAAATCTCCGTCGTGATGTAAGCATATAAAGTTATATGTATTATTAATCAAAGAAACAAGAAGTACATTTACAACATTTTAGACTTTGTAATAAACAAAAGAAGAAACAGTGTTTCAGTCTACGCGTTTTAATATATTTACTAGGATAAGAGCCGCGTCTTGCGCGGGATGAAGCTATTATTTTTATTATGTTTTGAAAAATGAAACAATAGTTCAGTTTCATTCGGATTAGAGGTGTTCAATCCGGATATCGGGTTTCGGTTCGGCTCGATTTTTTGGTATTTCGATCATTAAAATATAACTACTATTCTAAATCTATATGTTCTTCAGTTTGATTTGGTTTATATACCATCGATTTTCAGTTTATTTAATTTTATAGAAAAAACATAATTATTTAGTTTGAGATCATATTATATATTATACAAATATATAATATGATCATATTTAGAGTCATATTGTCACATAGTCATTTATTAAAAAAATATTATATATTTAAAAAAAAAATAAAAAAAAAATGGCTTCTATCATCTAATAAAATGATCAAATCTAGACTTAATATCAAAACACTAAATTTTGAAAATAAAAATATAAAACAAAACAGAAGCATGAAAGAAAAGTTTTTATAT